TAGTGGCTGCTGGGGGAAGAGGGGTTGGGCATGACTGGTAAGGGAAGCAGGGTTTCTTTTCAGGGGGATGCAAATGTTTGAAAAAAAATTGTGTCTTGTTAGAGGAGTTTTGAAACCATCAGGAAACACCTGGGGAGGGAGGCGGGGAGACAGGCAGAAATGACAATACCCCTTCCCCACCCCACCCCCAGCAGAAATGACACTAGCCCCACAGCGGGGTTTGGTGTTTGCAGCTGGGCGCGGTTCTTTGCTCTGGGGCTCCGCTGTGCCTTGAAGTCTCTGGGCAGCAGCCCTGGTCTCTACCCGTTAGAGACAACACCTAAAATCTGACTCTCTTTTCACGAAGACCAACTGATGTCCACGGGCTGGTTTCACAGAAAGCAGCAGTGATAATTAACAAGCATTTCTTAAAGACTAGAACAGATTCTGGGATATGGAGGACAAACCAGGGGAGTTCAGTATATCAGTAACACAGCTGATGTGATAAAACATGGGTCTAAGGGGGAATATAAATTAGAGTAGAATAAGGTGGTCGAATGTAGATTTATTTGGAAGCAGGGGCTTATGAATATAACATGCAGATTTGTGCCACATATATGCAAATGTACGCCCCCAGGATACACAGCTTTGTCTTCTAGGCCGAGACCTCTGGACACAAATATACGTGTAGTGTACACACACGTATTTTCTGTTTTAACCAGGCTGCAATTCTGTCGTATGTCCAGGTTTCCCATACGTGACCTCGTCAGCTCGTCCTTTAGAGACAGCTAAAGACAGTGAGGGTACCTGCAAGACGCAGCATCTGAAGGCAGTTATGGGGGGTATGAGTGACCGGAAGACCCCACACTGAGGTCTAGAAACGCTGGACAGCCCCGGTGGGGAAGCCTCCAAAGTCGGAGATGAAGAGAAAGCAAGGTCGCAGAAGCAGCCCTGTGCACGGGCCTTCCCTGGAGGCAGGTAGAGGGCTTCTCTCTGTCCAGGCGTGTTTGTGTGCTGTTCTGTCTGGGCTTCCCTAGTGGCTTAGTGGGTAAAGCATCTGCCTGCAGTGGGGGAGACACAGGGGGCATGAGTTTGATCCCTGGGTTGGGAAGATCCCTTGGAGAAAGGCACCGCAACCCACTCCAGTATCCTTGCCTGGAGAATCCCAGGGACAGAGGAGCCTGGCAGGCTACAGTCCATGGGGTCGCAGAGAATCGGGCATGACTGAGCGACTAGGCACGCTGTTTGCAGGAGAGAGAGGGATGAGATAAGGGTTCCAAGTCCCTTGGCCTCTAATGGTAGCTGAAGCCTCTGGATCAGTCTGGTTTCACTGGTCAGTTAATGAGCCCAGGACTGGTGTGCACCCTGCTGGGTACGGAGGGTGGAGCAGGGCAGCTCAGAAGGGGTGCGGGGCAATGGTTTAAGGGTGGGGCAGAGGTGGGGGGGAACATTTCTGTTTCCAGTTAACACTTGGGGTCTACTGTGTCATTACAGAAAAGAAATGCAAACTCAAAACCGCCTCAAGTAATTATGAGTGGGAATACGTAAGAGGATACGATGCCGCTTGTACTCTGGGGAGTGCCCTGCTCTATTTCTGCTTGTGACATGGTATAAATACAGCCCAAACCAAACCCTAGTACTTGATGGGAAAACGGGCTGGGGGAGAAAACTGTTGTTCATCTCTAAAACCCACCCTGGTGCACATGCAAAAGCAAGAGACCCAACTCAAAATCATCTCTCATCACGGAGATGGAAGAATGGTTTCCAGATGGCATCTGAGATGCACAGCTTATCATTGCATCAAGGAGCAGGCCCGCTCCAACCACATCCAAATGAACCACGGATCCACAAATCTACGCCTGGGCAAGTTTGGCTTTTACGGTTTGCCTGGAACGTTCCTGGACCTGTCACTGTGGTTTCTGGGCTCTCCCTGGGCTACGCCTTGAGATTACGCTGATCAACTTGGAAACAGGCAATGGTTCAGGCGCATGACAACTTCTAACCCCTTTCTGCCTCATCGTGTTTTCCCCAGGCTGGCCAGGTGGAACATGAAATTACATCAAAACATCATGGTGGCATCTTCAAAGTGCTCCGTTTTCCTCTTCCTCTGTGACCCTGGGTCTGCAGAAAACCCTGAGTTGTGTAGTTTAAATTAAGTAGGGCTGGGCATTTCAAAGAGGTTGAGCATGGAGAGAATGTAAAAATTTGGCTGCAAGGAACAGAAAGTTCAAAATGCCTGTGGCTTTAACAAATGAGAGCATACAGATCTCTCCCATTGAACCCCGATGGCGGGACAGCCTGCCACTCACAGAGAGCCTTGACATAGCTGCCAAGAGCTCGAGATCTTTTCATCCAGCGGCAAGCTTCCCCATCCCCAGCATGTGGTCTCCAAACTTGTCTAGGATAGCTGCTTGGATTCTAAACATCACATCCGCTTTCTAGGCAACAAGTATGATAGGTGGTGGTGTTTTTTTTTTTTTCAATGCCTCTTTTGAAAAAAATATTTTATTTATAGAGGATGAGATGGTTGGATGGCATCACCGACTCAATGGACGTGAGTCTGGGTAAGCTCCGGGGGTTGGTGATGGATAGGGAGGCCTGGCGAGATGCAGTCCATGGGGTCGCAAAGAGTCGGACACGACTGAGCGACTGATACATGACCACAAGGCCATCTCGAGTCCTACAGCCCAGCTGGGACATCAGGCCAGACCAGCATAAGAAAGCTATCAGATTGCCAACCCATAGAATCACAAACAATAATAAACTGTAGTGGTTTTAGCCACTAACTCAGAGTGGATTGGTCGATAACAATGGATAACAGTAACCAGGAGAAGCAGAAGTAAAAAGCATGTGCAGTGCCATCTTTGATGGAACTTTCCATAAGCTTCCAGGCAGCCCTGCTGTTTATGTCTTTTTGGCCACCATCAGCTGCAAGGGAGGTCACACGAACTAAGTCATTTTAGTCATGTCCGACTCTTTGTGACCTATGGATTTAGCCCACCAGGCTCCTCTGTCCATGGGATTCTCCAGGCAAGAATACTAGAGTGGGCAGCCATCCCCTTCTCCAGGGGATCTTCCTGACCCAGGGATCGAACCTGCATCTCTCACGTCTCCTGTGTTGGCAGGTGTGTTCTACACCATCAGTGCCACCTGGGAAGCAAGGGAGGTCAGGGGGTGTGGTCCTTCCGTGGGCAGCTGGGGGCCCAGCTGTCAGCAGGGGGATGAGTGACTAAGAAAGAGCTGATATCGGGGTGAACAGCCAGCGCTCTGAGACCAAGGAAAGATTAGGAAACCAAATGCACAGCACATCCCGTGACTCTCACAGGTGTTCAAAAGTTAGAAAGGTAACTCACATTTATTTTCCTTTTAAACTTAAATTCTCCCCAGCTCAGAAGAAGAGAAGGGAAATGGGAACACCTGCGGAAATACACCAGATCTCCAAGACACAGGCAGCCTTTAGGGGTTTGCCTGCTGGTCCCATGGATAAGAGCCACCTTCTAATGCAGGGGACGTGGGGTCGATCCCTGATGGGAGAACTAAGATCCCACATGAAAAGGGGCAGCTAAGCCCGCCCCACAACTAGAAAAACCCACACACTGCAACAAAAACCCAGCACGGCCAAAAACGAAGTCTTAGTAATTAAAAAAAAAAATAGGTCTTGAGACTCTACAGCCTGAGGATTGGAAGATGGAGGAGCCCAAGCCACACTGTGAAGGTTAAGGTTGCTACCAATGGGAGCAGCTATTCCAGGTCCATGAAGGAAATCGAACGGGCATGCATGTTACACGTAAGAAACGTCCCTTGTACTCCAGGTCCTTAGACCCGGAAACAGGTCAACATGTGATGTTACTGGAATCTTTCTCTGTTGTTTTAAAGCTTGGATGGATTCTCAGATGTCTTTGGGACTGAATTTCATTTCACAAGATGCATGAGTGAGCTGAAGAATTCTAAGGGTGTCCTTGAGCCCTAAGCTTCCATGACACAGAGGAGTCCACGTGCTCTGTTTGTGTAGGTTGACCATCTTCCCCACACTGTCCTGGGCCCTTGGTGGGGAAATAGTTAAAAAAAAAAGAGAGACAGAGAGACACATCTGTCCTCAGAATACTTATGACCAACTTAGAAGAGCAATTTCTGGGACTTCCCTGGTAGTCCAGTGGCTAAGACTCTGTCCTCCCAATGCAGGGGCCTGGGTTCCATCACTGGCCGGGGAACTAGATCCCACATGCCCCAACTAAAGATCCCACGTGCCTTAACTAAGGCCTAGTGCAGTCAAATAAATACATTTTTTTAAAAAAGACAAGTGATTTCTGTGGTCTCTCAGCACCAAACCCCGAAGAAAGTCCTCAGGTGCCAGAGCTGTCCCCAGTTCTCCCGTATGTGATGGGAGGGCCTCTCCTTACGAGAAATGTCTGCCTTCTGCGCAGGCCTTGCTCACTCTGAAAGCTGGTGGAATCCCTGACGTACTCGGCACCCCAGCCTCGGGGGACGTGGGGGCCTTCCAGGACGTACCGCTTGTACTCTCTTCAGAGAACCAAGGACCAGATTCTCACCTTCCACGTGTGCACTTTCCTAAAGTGGCTGGAGTGAGGAGGTGCCGCAGTTTGCGAAAGTTTTTCCCAGACTTCATATTTTTTAAAAACAGGTGTATCCCTCAGCTCTTGTACATCTTCCCAAGGCTCACTATCCTGTGATGGGACAGGGCAGCGAACCAGAGGTGGGGGGGGGCCTCCTTTGATGAATGGTAAAGGCCCTGCTGACTCACAGCACTTTTGAGATTTCCCTGGTTTGTACACTTGCTTGTTTGTTAAGGGAAATCGCGTTATTCAAACTGGGAATTTGACCTGTGTGGTTGTTGTTGTGTCCAGCTCTTTGAGACCCCATAGACCGTATAGCCCACCAGGCTCCTCTGGCCATGGGGTTTTCTGGGCAAGAATACTGGAATGGGTAGCCATTCCCTTCTCCAAGGGATTTTCCAGACCCAGAGATCACGCCTGCATCTCCTGCATTGGGAGGAGGATTCTTTAACACTGACACCATCCTGTCCTGTGGTAGGATGTCTGATATCAGTGGGGAATTGGAATCAGAGCAACTTTTCATCAACACAGTCACCTCCTCACCTTTGTTTTCTCACCTTTGTCAAAGAGAGAGAGCAGGAAGAAGAGGACTGGGGAGACAGAGAAAAGTCATCATTCTTAGGGTGGTCCTACAGAAGCAAGTCAAGTAGTACCTCTAAGAATTTTTGATGCTAAAACATATTTTCTTGCTTACCTTTTTAAATATAAGGAATTCTTTGCCGCTGTTCCTAAAATTCATCCGTAGGAGGTGTCATTAGCTGAGAAGAAAACCACATTCAAATAGCTAAAGCCATGTAGCTCTTGGAGTTTTATAATTTTAGTCACAGCCTGGTCATTTTAACTGTAACTGGAATTACATTTAGATATTAAATTTTAGAAACTTAGACAATTTCTCAAATTTTTAATTGCTGTCCTATATATTAGCAATAATCAAGTGAAATTTGAAATTAAAAACACAATGCCAGGGACTTCCATGGTGGCCCAGTGGTTAAGATTTCACCTTCCAAGGCAGGGGTTGCAGGTTCAATCCCTGGTCGAGGAACGAGGATCCCACGTGCCTCGTGTCCAAAGGGCCAAAAGGCCAAACAGAAGCAATGTTGTAACAGAGTCAATAAAGACTTTTAAAGAACACCATCTTTATTAGTACCCCAAAACGAAATACTTAGTATAAACCCAACAAAATCCCGCCCTTGTGACGTGACTTTGTGATTCCCCACCCCTCAGCCTGGACTGGCCTTGTAGCTTTCTTCGGCCAATGGAATGTGACAGAAGTGATAAGGAGTCAGTTTTCAAGCTGGGCACGAGAGGCTGTTTTTGGTCACACCCACTCTCTTGGGACTGTGCCCAGTGGCCCCAGGAAGAAGCCCAGGTGAGTCCCCTGCAGAGCGAGACACCAGGCCTCCCTGCTGACAGGTGCTGCCCGCAGACATCTGCACCAGCCCGGCCGACCCTTCTGGACCTAAAGAACCACTCGGCTGGACTTCCCTGGTGGCCAGTGGAGAAGAACCTGCCTGCCCATGCAGCGGGGGGACACGGGTTTGGTCCCTGGTCCGGGAAGGTTCCACGTGACATGGAGCAACCAAGCCCGTGCGCCTAGAGCCCGCGCTCTGCAAGGAGGGAAGCCGCCGCAGTGAAAAGTAGCTCCCGCTCCTGGCAGCTAGAGAAAACCCACACGTGGCAACAAAGCTGTGTCCTCGACTCCACACAGCCAAGGGGAAAATCAACCACTCGGTAAACACACAGATTCCTGAGCTAATAGAACACATACGGGGGGCTGGGATAGTTCGTGGGGCAGTATTCTCGAGGCAAGAGAAAACTCATTCAAGTAGCTCCTACTTAGCAGGTGAAATGTGCTGTGTCCATTGTGTGTTTCATGTAGCTCTCTGTACATACGTGTAAGACTAAGCTTATATACACCCTTGGGTGTGCATGCATACCGATTTACATTCATGGGCAACTTTACTCAGAGCGGTGGTTTGCTATATAAATGTATAATTTCTCTGTGGCCAGTCACAGAGAACTGGCCAGCCGCAGTTTTCTGTTTTCCTTGAAGGGAGATGGAATGATTCCTGGTCTGGGAAATTGAAGAGCATGGGCCCCCTGATGAGATGCAGACCAAGGTTATGGAAAGAGAAGGGGGTTTTCCTTCAGAAAACGCTAGGACACCTGAGAGGGAGACATCTCAGACGATCCATCCATAACACCATGCAGCAGACGTCAGTCTGCGTGTGGCTGTGGTGGTGAGCAAGACTGACAGCGTCCCCACTGTTCAGGAGCTAGGATTCCAATCTGTGCGTGTCAGTCGCTCAGTCGTGTCTGACTCTTTATGACCCCGTGGACTGTAGCCTGCCAGGCTCCTCTGTCCATGGGATTTCCCAGGCAAGAATACTGTATTCTTGGAGTGGGTTGCCATTTCCTCCTCCAGGGGATCTTTCCGACCCAGGGATCGAACTTGCGTCTCCTGCATTGCAGGCAGATTCTTTACCGTCTGAGCTACCAGGGAAGGTGTCTAGAAATCACAGAGACAGACCAGCAGTTCTAGAATGGTCAGAGGGGCTCCAGAAGGGGGTTACGGGGGCTCTGTTCTCTGGCTGTTCCTGCTTCACATGCTGGGCCCCTGCACACACTGTTCTCTCAGCCCAGCATGTCATTCCCTTTTCTTATTACATTTCTTTTTGGCTCCTGGAGGAGATAACACATGTACATGGTTTGAAAAATAAAATGATAAAGAATGATTGGGAAGACTGGGTCCCATGCTCACCTGGTCCTCTGCCTTCCTGCCCTCCCCCTCACCGCCTACTGGAGGGGTTCATTTCTATCAGTTCCTCACTTATGTTGCCAGTCTTTCTGCAAACACAAGGAAATAAGGACAAACATGCCATCTCCCAACCTTCCTTGCACAAGATGTAGACCACTATATATACTCACCGGTCCTTGCTTTTTTTCTTCGCTTAACAGTATCTTCTGGAAAGCTCGTTCTATCAGAGTGCTGGTGGATGGCAACCCCTTTTTTACAGCAGTGTAGTATTCTACAGCAGGGATGTCTGTGGATCGCCCAGCCCTCTATAGATGTGGATTCCAGACTTCCGCTGTTACAAACGATGCTGCCATGAATAACCATGTTCGCACATCCTTCCACACAGGTGCAGACGCCTCTGGGGGAGAAATTCCCAGAAGTGCTGCCCCACCTTTTCTTCCTGGCAAACTCTTACTCACCTTCTGACACCCACGACCCAGGGAGCCAGACATGAGAAGAGGCATGTCCAGAGAGCTGCAGGGAGCGTGCCTGCCTTCGCCACAAAGCTGGGAGTCGCCGCTTAGGGCGTGCACCCCTCCCTCCTTATTTGCCTCTAAATTCCCATGAGTAGATACATCAATAGATGATGTTCAGACACATGTTTCTTAGGAAACTCAGGAAGACAACTCCTAGAAGAGAAGTGTATTCTTTCTCTAGGTATCAATTCCTACTCACCACTATAAAATCTGTATCTGTACAGCCTAAACATTAGCAACCAGAAGAGGGAAGGGACTCAGAACACACAGCAAACCCCAACAATCCACTCTTCTAGAAACAATTTTCAATCTCATGCCTTAAGACAGATTGTCTTAAGAAAAAAATCTTGAATATGTATGCATAATCTGCATTTTGACTGTTCTTAAATTGTTTCTTTTTGTCTTTCAGGAACATTAGTGGAAGTTATCAAATGAGCAAGCAAATAAGGGAAAACATACCTATTACAACTCAATAGTTGTCTCAGCATATAGAAAAGCAAAGTATGAGCAAAAAATGTGCAGACTATGTCTATTGATAATAATAGGCAGCATGTATCAAATATTTACTATGATTGTAAATGTATTCAGTTAATCCTCTTCGAAAGCAAAAACTTCACAGTTGTTACTTTTAGTATTCCTAGTTTATACGTCTAGAAACTGAGGCACAGAAAAGTTAAGAAATTTGTACAAGGCAGCTGGAATTTAAAGCAAAGTAATCCAACTGAAGAGTCCATGTCCTTCACGTTTGTTCTTTACATAAATAAAGACTAAAGGTGACAATTCAGGGTGGCAGTAATGGAATGCAAGTTTCTTATCAAAACAGAGCTTCTACCTCATGGCCCCAAATCACCACTGAGCTCCAGCCCCCACAGGCACATTCCAGTTTACATAAAGGAGGAAGGGGAAAAAAGAGTGTATCTCCTCCCTTTACTACTGTAAGACTTCCCAGAATTTGAATGATACTTCCTCTTTTAAAAATCTATTGGCCACAATCCACAATTTCGCTCCCTGGCCATACCTAGTTCCAAGAAAGGTTGGTGAAAGTAGCCTTTGTTCTGGAAGGGCATGCTGGAAATACTGGGGTTTATTATTAAGGGAGTCATGAAAATGGATATTGAGGAATAACTGGCAGATTCTACCACACAGTAAAAGAGCAGCATAAGCGTGTGGGTTCTTAGGTATCAAGTAAAAGTGCTTATCTGCTGGGTAAGCTTTCCTGCCCACCGGTTGTCCCCCACCCCCAGTCCCCACACACCTCATAAAAAGAGGTCTGGGCCAGCACACCTGATGTCTGGACACCTGGTGTTTCCTGATCAGCACACCTGATGTTTGCGTCTGTTGCACTGATGTCCACTGGGCCTTGTTTCAGCACCTTAAGGTCATTCAGAATAACTAAACCTGAGCTCTTTTCCCTAATAATTCAGATATTCGAAGCCACCAAGTGCCCACAGCCAGATTCCCATCCTCCCAGCACCCAGTGTGTTCTGCATCACCTCCCAGTGTGTTACCCAGGACGGGACTTGAAGTCCTAGGAGTGGCCTTACCCAATCAGAAGAAGATGACCACGCTCAGAAAGTAGGCATCTATTAGTACATGTCTCCAACAGCTTCCCAGGTTGCTTTAGGATTTTTGACAATTACTTTACACTTTAACTCAGATTAAAGCTTCCCTGGTGTCTCAGACGGTAAAGAGCCATTGCATTGCTGCCGCCTGCAATGCGGGAGACCTGGGCTCGATCCTGGGTTGGGAAGATCCCCTGGTGAAGGGAATGACAACTCACTCCAACATTCTTGCCTGGAGCATCCCCGTGGGCAGAGGAGCCTGGCGGGCTACAGGCCATAGGGTTGCACAGAGTCTAACATGACTGACTTTCACTCACTCACTCACTCAATTCAGATACCACCTCCTAAAGCCGTCTATCAGGAACCCCATTTGTGGCAACTGCTTGTTTTGGCTTTGATATGGACCTTCCGTTGCTCCCTATTTTACCTTCTCTTCTGGATCAGGCCTCTCGGCTTCAACGTGACAAAGAGCTTCATTCGCGAGTCTGCAGATCAACAGCCGTCCGCCCCTCCCACCCGCGCCTGCAGTTGCAGGAACTCGGTGCCCCATCGCGTCACCAAGCAGCGTTGCGCAGGCTGGGGCCGAGGCCGATGGCGTGTGGCCCACCGTGAAATCCTCCCTCCAGGTGCCCCGGGTCCGTGCAGCAGCCCTTTCTGTGGCAACGGGGAGAACCGGCTTGGATGTGTGTTGCTGCCATGGCGATGCCCAAGCGGGCGGCTCGGGGCCCCGGGGAGATGCTTCTGGCGGCACCTGCTCCCAAAACTCTCCTTCAGCAGCGAGGAGATTCCAGAGCCCTGGGAGCCAGAAACCGGTTGTTGGGAGGCAGCATTCGTTCAGCATTCACTCATTCCTCGTTCGTTTTTGAAGCCTACACGGAGGTCTTCTACGGGGCAGAAGGCTATGTCCTGAGCGTAAAGGCCACAAGATCCTTGCCGCGTGGGGAGCAGCTGGGCCGACTCTGAACTCCGCCTGTCGCGCGGTCCTCCGCTCCGTGGCTCCCCGGCCCTTCCCGCGGCCCCCAGGACCCTGCCCGCCCCGACTCCCCCGCCCCCCTCGCCCTCCAGCCGCACGGGCCTTCTTTCCAAACAGCCAGATGTGTGAGCTTGTGTCCTCCGATCTTCCTGTTTCTCTCTCCTTTGTCTAGAACGCGCTTCCTCAGAGAGCATCGTGACTTTCGCCTCCCCTCCTTCAAACCTTTGCTCAGAATCACCTTCCAGGAGCCCCCTCTGGCCACCCTGCCCCAGTGTCAGCTCTCCCAGGGTATTTCACTCCTCCTTCCTGATTTATTTTTTTTCTCCTTATCCTCTTCTCCAACATTCGCTATCCTAAGTTTTAATTCCATTTCATTTTGATTTTCCCCACTAGGAATTAAGCCTGAAAGCAGCAGGGAGCTATGGACTTTTCCTTTTGGATTCAGAGCTCTTAGATGACTGTTAAATAGAATGAATGAACATGCAATTTCAATATAAGGAAAGGAAAAATTCTGGGGCGCCTTAGAAACAGAAGAAAAAGAAAAAAAAAAGCAAAAATGCAAAATGGTTGTCTGATGAGGCCTTACAAATAGCTGAGAAAAGAAGAGAAGCAAAAGGAAAAAGAGAAAAGGAAAGATATACCCATCTGAATGCAGAGTTCCAAAGAATAGCAAGGAGAGATCAGAAAGACTTCCTCAGTGATCAATGCAAAGAAATAGAGAAAAACAATAGAATGGGAAGGACTAGAGGTCTCTTCAAGAAAATTAGAGATACCAAGGGAACATTTCTCACAAAGGTGGGTTCAATAAATGACAGAAATGGTATGGACCTAACAAAAGAAAAATATATTACGAAGAGGTGGAAAGAATACACAGAAGAACTGTACAAAAAAGATCTTCATGACCCAGATAATCACGATAGTGTGATCACTCACCTAGAGCCAGACATCCTGGAATGTGAAGTCAAGTGGGCCTTAAAAAGCATCACTATGAACAAAGCTAGTGGAGGTGATAGAATTCCAGTTGAGCTATTTCAAATCCTGAAAGATGATGCTGTGAAAGTGCTGCATGCAATATGCCAGCAAATTTGGAAAACTCAGCAGTGGCCACAGGACTGGAAAAGGTCAGTTTTCATTCCAATC